TATCGTTTCCACTCAATTACAAGTTAGTCATGTGTTGGAGAGGACAATACATATGACTTAATGGTAGTGCCTCTTCATCTATATCTTAAAGTGGAGTTGTTATAGTGTAGTCCCCAGTCCCGAACAAATTAACCATTTGATCAACCATGGCCTCAGGTTCTTCTTCCTCCTCGTCCACAACATCAACTTCATCTAGATCCGGTGTTTCATCGTGCGATTCACCAACTGCATGTTGAGTCTGGCAGAGTAATAGATAAACCTCGATATAGTCGAACCCAAAGTGTTCATGACTATCAAACATTTGTTGAACGTCGCTGTCATCTTGTATATTCTCTTGAAAATACTTGACCTGATTGTTGTCAAAGAAAACAAGGCTTTTGTATATGATTTGAGTGATTGGACCAGACAATATCTTCGACTCTATTCGCTCTTTGAAATGCAAAAAAATTGATTTTCTGCTCATTGTTAATCGGGTAACATCTGTATTTTGAAACTCAAAACCGGAATTTTCAGAGATCTATGTGTCTCCATTAAAATGAACATGAACAATATAATTTGTTGTTTTAGACATATTTGAATAAAAGTGTAAGAGATGTATTTGTATAAAATGAGATGTATTTAATATTTTTTTCAATGTATACATATATAATAAAAGTGCACGAATTAAATAATAATAAATGGTAAAGGGAGGCGCCATGCATGATGGAGTCCCTTCCTTAAGGTTAAAGGGAGGCGTCATTCATGGTGGAGCCCCTTCACTAAAGTTAAAGGGAGGCGCCATGGTGGTTGGAGTCACCTTGACATGTGTATGAAAAGTAAAATTTGCATGCATGCAGAATGCCAAGTGTGGAGGATTCTCTACACCAATTTAATTTTTCACTCTACCTCATTTACTTTTCTACACATCAATCAATATTTCAACTACACCAATTTAATTTTTCACTCTACCATAAATTCAAAATTCAAAATTCAAATTCAATTTTTTTACTATAAATACTTCTTCCTCCTCATTGTCAAAACTCATCAAATATATCCAACAATTCAAATTCTACCAATATTTTCTTCATATATTCACACTATATAGTCCATAGAAGAAATGTCTCTGTTAACATTGGGAGAAATGCATAGAGGAACACCAAGCAACATCGCGTCTTATGTAAGTATTTGTACCCGATAATTCACAATGTTGTATTGATTTGTAACATTCTACTATTGTTATAAATACAATGTTGTAATGATTTGTTGTATTGATTTGTAGAATACTCATGACTTCCAAACTCGTGGGCATAAACATTTCCCACATGACCCAATAATTCAACCATATTTGGCGAGCGCAGGATTTGGAGAAGTCATCAAAATAACAAATTATCTCCTTGATACCAAGTTCATTTTAGCACTTCAAGAAAGGTGGCGACCCGAGACGCATACATTTCATCTTCCAATAGGTGAATGTGTTGTTACTCTCGAGGAAACTTACATGTTATTGGGTTTACCTATTAATGGTAAAGCGGTAAACGGTCTCACCAATTCTAGCGGTAGTGTGATAGAAGAACTTTTAGGGGTTGAACCAACCCCACGCGATTTGAGGGGCCAAAAAATATTATTATCATGGCTCAATTTTTTTAGAGAGATGAGGTTAACCCGAGACTCTCCAGAAATATTGAAAATTAGAAAAAAAAAGAATTTATTTTATGCTACTAATAGGTTTATTTTTATGTCCAGATTCAAGTGGTAACGCTATTCATCCTATGTATTTAGCTTTATTAGATGACATAGACAAAATAAGAACATATAGTTGGGGGCCCGCTACACTAGCGCACCTATATCGGTCTTTGTGTAACAACACAATAGCAAATTCAGGATATCTTACTGGATGTGGTGTTATTCTTCAAGCTTGGGGTTGGTCAAGAATGACCAATCTAGCACCTATCCAACACAATAATTTCGAATTCCCATACGCTACAAGGTAATTACTTAGACCAAGAATGTCCAATCTTTCATAGTCTTTTACTTAATTAATCCTATTATTAACAAATGTTTTCTTTTTGATTTGTAGGTGGCCTTCACTTGGGATGAATTACGACAACTGTCCCCATTTCAGTATCACCCAGTATATAAATCTTATAGATCATTTAGGTCAAGATGATGTACCCTCAATAACCTACCTATTTAAAATATAGTCTCCTTGAGTATTATTAGAAAATACTAAATATTATTTTTTTCTCCTAAAGTTTATTTGGCAGCCATATCTTGGTCTAGAAGCCATTCATGAAGTTGACGAACACGACTCTGCAGTGTGGAGTGCAAAGGTGCCGATTATCAACTTCACCACCATGGAAATGCACAACAGTGATCGTGTCAAGCTCACTTTGGAATGCTGCAAGATATTCCATGTCCGCCAAAATGCATCCCCGACAAGTATCACATCGGTAAAATCTCCGATAGGGCTGGAAATGAGTCGAGTCGAGTCGAACTCACCTTAGCTCGGCTAGAATCGTTAAGAATTGGTTCAAGTTCGAGTTTGAGTTCGACACAAACTTTGTTTTAAGCTCAAACTCGACTAGTTATAAGTTCACGAACAGTTCGGTTCAACTCGTTAGGTTCAGCTCGCATGTTTCACGGGCTTAAAAACTATTTTTAAAAAATAAATATATTTTTTAGTATATTTGACATTTTAAATAAATATATATTTTTAAAAATAAAATATTAAAATAAAATAAAAGTTATCATATTGAAATTTAACTTTATCTTCGAAATCTACTAATTCAAAACCTACATAACTTTTAAGAGATACATTTGAGAGTCTAATTCAAAAACTACTAAATTGAAGATTAAATTTGTCTAAGATTTAGAATAAATATTTAAACCTAATTTTAAAGACAGTATAATTCTTCTCATATGTAATCGAGTTGACTCATGAACCTAACGAGTCGAACTATGTATAGTTCAAGTTCAGCTCATTTAGTTAATGAACTTAATTTTTCGTTCATACTCAACTCGTTTGGTTCGTGAACCTAGTTCAACGATTTAATTGTCGAATCGAATTCTGAACTATTTTCGAGTTGGTTCGGTTCATTGCCAGCCCTAGTCTCCGACCAATGGGAATATTCTCCATGGACCAAGTATGCAAAATATGAGTGTCGTGAATGGAAGCATCGCCGCCATTTTGTTTTATCCGACACTGTGTTGCCATACGAGAGAAAACAGTCTATCCAATACATGAATTGGTATAGGGCGGTATCCATTGGTTTCATTTCGTGTCCAAGATATCTTGATCCACGCTAACAAGCCTCATCATCAAGACCCCAACAACCTACCCAACCCCATTTCCAACCGTCAACCCAACCCCACTCACACAACCACAACTCCATGAACTCACCCCTAACCAATCCACCCCATTCACACAAACTTATTCACAGTCCCAATACCAAAAATATCCACCACCATACCAAACATACTCCTGCGATACTACAAACCAATTTAACACGCAGTATCAAACACCTAATCAACCCTTACCCACCCAAACATTTACACCCATGTCACCTTACGACTAGGCAGACTATCGTCCTGACATTGCCTCATCGAGCCAACCACCCCAACATAATTATGAAGGCATGGGAAACCCTATTAATTTGGATGACTTTGCGGAGATCGACTCGTCTTCATGAGCCGAAATGATCCAATTTCTTAAAGACGACACAGTGGACCCGACTCCACCACAAAGACCACCAACAAACGTACGTAATCGAGGATGCGGTACAAACAGACATTTACACCGACCTAGTCGTAGAAATTAGTGTATCATATATCTCATATGTACCCATTTATTATTAAATGAAAATATTAATTATTATTTAATTTATTATTTATTAAATACAATTTAATTTTTATTTGTTATTTAGAAATTATTAATGAAAATATTAATTATTATTTAACTATTAATTATTAATAAATATTAATATTATTTAGAAATTATTAATGAAAATATTAATTATTATTTAACTATTAATTGTTAATAAATATTAATATTATTTAGAAATTATTAATGAAAATATTAATTATTATTTATTAGTAAATATTAATATTATTTATAAAATTATTAAAAAAAATAATTAAACATATTATATATTAAAAATTAATTTAAAAAAATCGTATAAGGGCGCCTCCATCATGGATGGCGCCCCCCTTATAATTTAAAGGGTGCCTCCATCATGGATGACGCCTCCCTTTAAATTATAAGGGTGCCTCCATCCTGAATGGCGTCCCCTCACAAATAAAAAAAACTCTGAAACTTAAGTAGATTGGATAATATTTTAAAATGTTGGGTACATTGACACATAGTGTTGGAAAACTTAGTTATTGTGGTAAAAGTTTCCCAATGTTTCAATCTATTTATTTTATAATATCCAAATATAATTTAAAACTCGATAATAATATTTTCAATTAAGTTGTTATATGTATTTACATTTATTTTCATACTAAACTTAAGATTTTAAAATCCGATGCTAAGGATAAACTCATGCTATGCTACCTAACACTCCACAAAAATCATCTTCCAAGATAACTTTGCCACACAATGACAACACACGAATGCATGATGATCATAGAAACGCGATGACATCTAGGACAGAGATCATGATCATAGTGAATAATACCAATGCTTCTTTACGAGCTTTTACCGGCCAATCATCTAAATGAACATTTGAATTCTTGCATGGCCTTAACTAAAAAATTCAGTAAAAAAAAAAAGAAATAGAATAAAGAACCTTAGTTTTTTTAATAGAAAAAAGATAAAAATAATATAAAACCCCCGGAGCAATTCGCGTTGGTTTGGTCGTCCCTATGGCAGTAGCACCGCGTTTTTTCATCTCTGTTCAACCCCGTTTACCAGTCTCTTCCCTTCCATTGCTTCACTTTCTTTTATTATCCTTTCCTCTCTTCTTATCATCATTACAACAACTTCATGCTCTTTTGAGGGATCGACGCTTATTTATTTCTCCATGCATCAGATTTTCCATAACAATCTAACCAACGCCATGGACTCCAAGAAGCTTCGTAGAAAACCTAAACTCGAGCGTCGTAATGCTCTCAAGTACTTCGATTACGACGCCGGATCATCTTCCTCTTCCTCTTCCTCCGATGATTCTTCTGGTTCGCTTTATACTCGTTCTATGGAGTTGTATGATCGTACTAGCTTCCGAATTGAAGGGGTTGAGGGTGAGCTCGATCGGATTTGCAGGAGTTTGGGACTTTCTGGACCGGATGATTTTGCTATTCCGGCGGCTGCATGGGAGGCTATGAAGACTCGGTACTCTTTGGATAGTCTTCCTAGTTTGAAGCTTGAAGAGGTAGATTTTCAGAAGGTAAATAAGGTGAGAAAGTCAGACGAGGAGGAAGGTGAACTGGATGTGAAATACGAAGATAGGGATACAGATAGGGGTAGGGTTACAGATGAGGTTGCTGAGACTGTTGTTGTTGCTGCTAGTGATGGCGGTGGTGGTGGTGGTGGTGGTGGGGGTATCAATGAAATTCATCCACCTATGATTAAGACGTCGGAGTTGGCTCCGGTAAGGGAAGGGGAAGAAGGGATTTTGAATGAGGAAGTTGGTTTTGGCAGGGTAAGTTCAATTAGAGAAGAGGAAGAGCGGGCGGTGGAAAATATGGATATGATTGCTGAGATTGTTGTTGGCCTTTCAGAATCATCTTTGTTTAGTACTACATCTAATGAAGACGATTTATCTAGCACTGCCATGGAACCTTGGTACAATAATATGTCTCCTAATTGGAGAATTAAGCGTACTATTACCCCGGGATGCTGGCAAAAGGGTCATTTTTTGGGCGGTGGTTCGTTTGGATCTGTCTATGAAGGAATTTCTGAGTAAGTGTAATCAAACCCCCTTTCTTTCAACTTTACTTTAGCATATGCATATGTTTATGTATTCTGTCCCTTCTTTGCTATAATAATTGTAATTCAGCATATGAGCGAGTTAGTTAAGAAAATTCCATATTTGAATCACAAATAAGACAGTGTTGTTGATGATGGATGGCGGCAGTCCATAGAGAAGAGCCAAAATTTCGCCATACTGGCTGCTTTATGGCGCAACTATAGCGGATTGTGGTGGAAAAACCCGCAATATCAGCCGATATTTACCATTGCGGCTAGCTCAAACACCGCCGTGTATCTCCGCCACAGTGCCACCATGGCGGATATTTGATAACACTGGTTGGAGAATTTATGATTGGGAAGATTAATTCATTTCGAGAATATTGCTGTGTGGCTTTTTTGAATTTGAAGGTAAAATTGGCAATGCTTTGCTGTTGTGTGTTGCTACTCCTTTAATATACTGGAATGAATATTTTTGGTTAAAGGAGAATGCAAGAAATATACTTTTGTCTGATGTACTACCATTTATTCTCTCAAATTTTCAATTTCAAAATTAAGGGTAGCTAACTGTTATAATGAGTAGAATAAGAAAGGGGATGAGCTAGTTGAATCTGACAGGTCAGTTTATGTTTGACTAATTACTCAGAAATTGTCAGCTTATATCCTATAATAGTAAGGGTTTGTAAGCCCTCCAAGTTCTGGTGCTTTCTTTTCACAAAGACTTTCTTAAGAAATATATCGGATTGTTTGATCTTATCCAACAAATCATTTCCTTTATGCCCATGAATAACCACCCTTTGTTCTATGTGTGGTTGGAGTTCATCCCTTTGCTTCTGGTCTAGTACAATTGATGTGAGATGAAAACCATTATTTTGAAGGGTGTGTTCCTTTTTTATTACTTTTTTTGGGCTTAATTTCCTTAGCATTTTTAATAAACTTTGCTATTAGCCAAGGTGTCCCTCTAATGCACTGTTTTAATAAACTTTGCTATTAGCCTTTTACTGACAGATGATTTCTGAAGTGCAATTACATTAATGTCCCATTGGTCATCTTGATTAGGAAATGTATTTGAGTTTTAACACCCCTTAACTGAATGGTGAATTAGGTTGTCCCTGCATGATATAGATTCAGTAATAGAGACGGCTTCAGTTAAATAGGGAGTATCGATGTATTTAAAACTATACCAAATGAAAACTTTAGAAAAATGTAATGAGGTGAGGGAGCTACATTTTGGGAGGGCAAGGATACTTTAATTGCTATTTGATGCTAGTTTTTACTTGTCAAAATTACCAAAGTCTCGGGATTGTTTCAAATTTGGTATCTTCCTGGGCTGCTTATAATAGGGTACGAGTTATCATCCAATGTTTTTCATTCAAGTTGAAAGGGAGCCATGAGCCATGATGCAATAATTGAAGTTACTGCCACCATGATTAAGATGTCATAAGTTTGAGTTGTCGAATCAGTCTTCGGCAAATGAGTTTGGCCCTTCTGCGGATCTTGCCACAGTGGGAGATTGATAGCAAGTTACCTGCCCCTATTTTAACTTGAGTTGCTGCCTTTTGGTTTTGTCTGTATAAAGCTCAAGAACAAAGCATTTTTCAGCGTGATGATTGTACTGATTATTTACCTGTCTATTTTATGTTATAAGTGATAACTACTAACATGTTATGCACATCTTCTGAATCACTGCAGCGATGGATTCTTTTTTGCTGTAAAAGAAGTTTCATTGCTTGATCAAGGGGATCAGGGAAAACAAAGTGTCTATCAGCTGGAGCAGGTGACAGGCTTACAGCTTTTATTATTTTATCACCTATAATACCTTACTTGTCCAATATTGAGCATCCTATGATGAAGAAGAAATAAGAAGTTTTCTTACATAAATATAATGCCATTATAGGCAATATGTCGAATTGTTTGAGAGGTTGTTGTCTCCTACTCTCCTTTATGTCTCTCCTACTATGTTTATTTTCTCACATTCATTCTCTTTTCTCTCAGGAAATTGTACTTTTGAGTCGTTTTGAACATGATAATATAGTTCAATACTATGGCACTGAAATGGTATGGTACTTTCTTCTTATCCAGTCTTGTCTTCTTCTTTTGTGCTCACTTGGGGTACTTTCTTGTCATTTACCATTGTTGAATACAAGGTAGTTAAAATTGTGTAATATCCGAAAGGGGAAGTAAAATCTTAAATCGTGGAATCGTAACACTAATAGTAAGATTTTACAAAATTCTAAAACTCATACTTATGCATATAAATTCATATATATGCATATAAAATCGCATTAGCAAGACAAAGAAACCCTTAAATCACTTAAAATACTTGTGTAAATTTAAATTCATAAGCATAGTTCACAAGTAAGATAATTAAAACCTCAAATCACATTTCAAATACTTAGATTAATTTAAATTTATTCATAAGCATAATTGTATAAATGTTTCAAAGATCATAAAATTATACAATTTAACGATTAACAAAAGTGATTCTACCTGATTCCACCAAAATAGGATTATGCATATAGTCATAATTTCTGAGCGAAAGCATAATTGTAAAATCATGGGATTTTACAATTCAAATCGGCATTTTAACTACCATGGTTTTTACAATTCAAATTGGGATTTTAACTAATATGGTTGAATATGTGTTGAATATGGTTTGAATATGAGTAAAACTTGAAAGGTCCTTATGCATCTCAAACTTTTTACAATATTTTCAGTATAAGTAAAATGTTTGTGGATAGAGTCTTTATACGGCATCACGACAGACATGACTGTCACACTCTTAGGTTAATTGATAGAGTTAAACGGGTATGACCCTTGACATCAAATTTAAGTTAACTCGTTTGCAAATCGTTTCCATATAAACTTGAGTAGATTTGTATAGACTCACATACACGAGTTTGGGGATAATTTTCCACAGACATGACTAGACAGTTCAGTGTTAAAAAAAACCTTAAATGAAACAGCTGAATGATAGGGCTCTATATAGGGGACAAAAGCATTATCATCACAGGTATTGGACTTGACTCCACATATGTGTTTACTGTTGTATTGAGTCTCGGCCCCATAGATTGTAGCATAATGAAGTTACGATTAACAAGTTTGAAAGCGTGAACAAACAAACCCATCATTGTTGAATGAATCTAACAGGCCAACGCGGTGAATGAATCCAAATCTAATGAGTTGAGACCTAACTATATCGAGCTGAATCCAGCTCCAAAAAAGAGACCCCACCCCCACCGTCATTTTCAAGTAATTTTGAACATTGCAATTTATCAATTGTCTATCGATTTAGAACTTATTATACTCTTTTTTCATCCTGAACCGTGAACCTATATTGTGAATTTTAGTTGTGATGCTATGTTTGTGGCCTGGACCTATGAGATCGTCATAGTCTAATTTATGGATTGCTTCAAAATATTTAAATTTCATGTTAAGTAAACTCTCACAACTTTATGAGTCAAATTTATAATGATCCCACAAATTTAAAAAGACTTTTGAGTTTGACAATCATTGGGAATTCTCCCTTCACTACGGTCTGCCCCTAGTCACCTAATTGTGGCATTTGACTTGCCTTCGTTTCAGCCTCCAACACATTCAAGTGTTGGGTTTGAAGGGGTAGATTTAGTCCCATATTGCTTAGGGATATTGCCTGTGTAGTGTTTATAAAGTTTGGGCAGCTCTTGCCTTACAAGCTGATATAAAGCCTAGATGATAAGCAATGAAATGTGGCATGGAGCTACAAGCCCATCTTAATTTTAATTTTTAGTCCCACATTGCTTAGAGATATGACAGGGTTGATAAAACATGAGCATCCCTCACCTTACAAGCCGGTCTTGTAAGTATGAGTTAGACCAACCCAAATTTTAAAAAAAACCTAGATGATAAGCAATGAAATGTGGCATGGAGATACAAGCCCATCTTAATTATATTTATACTTTGCCTACAAAATATTTAAATCTTAATTTTATTTATACTTTGCCTACAAAATATTTAAATTTTGTATTGAGTAAACTCTTGAGTTTGACAACCTTGATGATAGGGAATGAAATATAGTCTATTACTTGTAATACAAAGGATCCACCAGAGTACAAGACTACAATAACTAGCAAGATGTATTTGTACATATAACAGAGTAAGCTCGTGAATCAAAATGAGATTTGTTCTTTATACCCTGCTTGATGTTATTGCAGGATGAATCCAAGCTTCATATCTTTATTGAGCTTGTAACCAAAGGTTCTCTTAGAAGCCTCTATCAGAGGTTTACTCTCCGAGATTCCCAAGTATCCGCCTATACAAGACAGATTCTGTATGGTTTGAAGTATCTTCACGATCAAAATGTGGTTCACAGGTGACTCCAGATTTTGTATTTTAATGTAATTTTGTTTTCTTATGCATACATGGCTGCTGATTTTCTGTGTTAATTCTTGTCTTGCATCATATGGTATGGTTGCCATTTCTCTAGTAATGCTGTCAAAGGTCCCCCCCGTCTATGGTTCTTGCTTTCCTTGCTTCAAATGAACTTTCATTTTTATCAAAGTTTCATCCTTGCAATATAAATATTCTTTGTAAATATTTCAGTTTTGCTTGCTCTTAAATAATTTTAATATAAACTCGTTGCAAATAGCTTGATGTATCTGTTTGACTTTTTCTTCTTTGATGTATTTGTTTTATTTTTTCTTCTTGGTATTTGGATTTCTCCATGGCAATATTGCTTCATTTTCATCGCTTAGTATTTGTGGTAGACATATTAGTTTTTATCAGTTTTTTATTACACTGAGCTTTGAATGCGGATTTTCTAATGATTAAAGAAGGAAACTCATGTTTATCAGTATCAGACTTAGGCAAGAGTAAGAGGGGACATAGTTACAATGCAATTTGGATTTTCAGTTTTGGAACTTTTAATTGGTAGAGTTTTTTCTTTCGGTTAAGCCCATCATGTCTATGAGATCTTCTCTGCATTCCTCTATCAGTAATGTCTTTGAGCTTTTTTCTGCATGCCTGTATCAGTTATATAATTAGGATGAAGCAATCATCATTAATATAATCTAACTATATCTCCCCAATTTAAGGGATATCAAATGTGCAAATATATTGGTGCATGCAAGTGGATCTGTCAAACTTGCAGATTTTGGGTTAGCAAAGGTATTCCATAGTTTATACTTCTCTTTCTAGAGCTTTTATTTCTTCAACATCTTAATTTCATTTACAGATATCTGAGCAATGTGCAACTACTTACAATTTCCATTTTCTGATATTGCTATATAAATTGTTTTTCAGGCAACCAAGTTGAATGATGTTAAATCATGCAAGGGGACAGCATTCTGGATGGCCCCTGAGGTTTGCCTTCAATCTTAACTTATGAATGGAAATACTGAATAATGGTTCAAATTTTCAAATTTATTTCATGGAGTGTACATAGGTCCAACTACTAAATAGTTTGATCAACAGCATTGAATGAAATTAAATTGCCTTACAATCATCATAAACTGTGAGTCTAAAACAAAAAATGCTTCTGCTTATCTGTGAAGTTGGTGGTATCCCCCATCTAGAATTCAAAGAAATTATTAGAGCGCCAAAAATAATATTCATAGAAACATGAGCATTTATTGTGCTAGATAAGTTGAAACAATGAAACTCTTGCGTGTTGAATTTATACATTTCTCTCTTGCTTTGTCCCATTTATTTTTCATGAGACTTGATCAATGGGATGAACAGATTGATATAGTTATTGATAGTGATGTAGCAATCAGGCGTAATCTGTTTCAAGAATTCATTGTCTCGAACTTATAATTGGTATTGACAAAACAAATAGCTAAAGCTATTCCTCCCATAGTAAACCAAAGGAAAATGAAATTAAGGGCTACCTTTGTAGTGGGACATTATATTGTGTCTATGTAGTGATTAGAGATTTTTCAAACTAGAAGCTTTAAACTTTCTAAAATCATCTTACTTGGTGTTTGATCTTGTAATTTCTTGATAACATAGCTATTGATTATTGTATTTAGTGAAACTAGGGGTTTTCAGAAGTGTGTGCACTAAACACATCTGTTTTGTTTATATGTACCTGATGCATAGTAATCACATTTTATACATCATCAATGCAATGCGCACACGGTGAAAAATGAGTTTATATTCTACTACACTTTTCCGTAAACTGAAACAAATATCACGTGCACAAAGTTTGTTCAAATATGTTCAACCCGAGGCCCGCAATGAGATTTAGTAAATATACCCACTAATTGTTGATTGAAATTGACAACCAATTGTGATTTTTCTCTAAATAAAAGTAACACTTTTCTCATAAAATGTCGTGCAATTTATGTGTTTGGTCCTTTCATTTAGAACAAAGTTGAGAGCAATATGTAGAGAAGCTTGATCATCTCAGATTATTTCCATGCTCTTGACGTCTCCTAGTTGAAGTTTTTGAAGTAACTATTTTAGCCACACAAGTTGTAATGTTGTTATCACCATGGCACTGTATTCTACCTCAACACAGAGATATAGCAGCGTTTTCCTAGGATTTTTGAGATTGCACATGTGAAGAATGAGCTTCTATTCTAATTCATATTAATTATTAATCATGAATATGCAGGTTGTGAAAGGAAAGAACAAAGGTTATGGGCTTCCAGCTGATATTTGGAGTCTGGGATGCACTGTGCTAGAGATGCTAACGGGACAAATTCCATACTCCAATTTGGAATGTGTATGTTTCATATTATTGCTATCTTTACTCTCATTTCCATTGGACTTTTACTCCTCTCCCAGTCTTTTTTGGTTCACGCTGTTGCCTCTTCAGAAGTATTTGCTTTTGCAGTGTTGTTAACTGTTAGGAAGATCCTAAAGTCTCACATTGGTTGGAGATAAAGTATTGAAATAGTTTATATAGAGTGACATCCCTCACCTTACCAACCGGTTTTGTAAGGTTGTGTTAGGCCAAACTCTAATATGGTATCAGAGCCTATCGATCGGATCTTGGGCAGCCCACCGTTTAAAATCCACGTACCAAGCCCAAAAAGAGTGCTGGACGTGAGGGTGTGTGTTAGGAAGATCCTAAAGTCTCGCATTGGTTGGAGATAGAGCATTGAAATAGTTTATATAGAATGACACCCTCACTTTACCAACCGGTTTTGTAAGGTTGTGTTAGGCCAAACTCTAATATTAACCATTATTAAACAATTCAGGCTATCCACTCTGATTCAAATTCACAATTTTCCTGCTATTCATCTGTAAATTAAATTGTGGATTTTATCTATAATAACAGCTATCAAAATTGCATTAATACTGGTTATGACTTTCGATTGATCTTTGCTAATAGCAGATGCAGGCAATATTTAGAATAGGAAAAGGTGTGCTACCTCCTATTCCTGATACTCTTTCAAGAGATGCAAAAGATTTTATCATGCAGTGCCTTCAAGTTAATCCCGATGATCGTCCTACTGCTGCTCAACTCTTAAACCATCCGTTTCTCCAAAGGCCACTTTCACAGTCTTCATCTCCTTACATTCATGGCAGAAGGGATTAAACATTGTCGTCTTCAACCATGAAACATAACGAAGGTGAAAATTGTTACATGGCATCTCACTTTAATACTCTCTTTTACTCTTTATATCATGATGACACCAGAATCTTATAGACAACTGTTTTCATAGCTTTCATAAGAATTCCCATTCATAAATAATGAGTAATAAGGTAAACACAATACCTAAGATGCTTGAAATGCCAGGTTTGTTTTTCAGATTGCACATAGAATTTCTATATTTGAATTGGGTGGGGTTTAAATGTAATTTCACTCTTATTTTGGGGTAAGCTTTCTTTAGGGGGTGGCAAACGAGTCTGCCCCGCAAAAGCCTGCAAAAAAACAGGGCGGGGTGGACATAGTAGAGGATGCGAGCCTAAAACCTTGGGCCACCTCGTAAAAAATGAGGCGGGGCGGATCGGCGGATCGGACCGACGGGCCCTGCACCCTTAAAGCCTAAAAGTTGCAAAAGATTCACTGTAATGCTTGCGTCCACAAAAGCACGCTAAGAAATAGGGTGGGGTGGGCATAGTAGAGGTTGCGAGTCTAAAATCTTGACTCGGACCGCGAAAAATATGCTGGCAAAAACAGGCATGCCCAATGGGCCAGACCCGTTTTGCGACCCCTAGTGTTCTTGCAAGCATAAGTGACAAACTATAAAAATGAATAGAAGCAGGAATGTTTTAACCTGTGGTGGAATTCTCAAATGATAAGCTATATTGTTTGCATCCCTTTGGAAAAATCTTTGTAACATGGGTTAAATTTACATCTTTCAATGGTTTATTTGATTATTTTACTCTTGCATAGCATGTAGCAATGTAATATTTCCAATTTTCACTCTTAAAATTGCTGGAGTTGATCCGGGATCCATTTTTGCAGCAATTGTTACTTTGCTCATGTTGTGGCATTCAGAGTTTGCTTGCTTGTTTACAACTCAAGTAGATTTTTAGGCGCTGCTTCTGCTTAAATGATGTGAGCCCCACAGAACCAAAGCTATCAACTCGGCAAAGTGCTTATGGATATCTGTGCTCAATATGTATTTGTCCATTTACTCCATGATGATTTGTTCATTGTAACAACAACATATCAACGTCAAGCTGAAGAAAGTTACCCCCACATTTCCCTCTAATGAGCTAAACTATGCAAAAACAGGGTTTAGCTTTGGGGACAATAGTATCAAGAAACAGATAACCGTTCTTATTGTACATATTTATTAGCAAGCCATTTTTTGTGCATATGTATATTACAAAGTCGTGTTTTTTACATTTTTCTTTTGTTTGAATCCATGTTTAGTGTTTCTCATTTGGTTGAATATAGTGAATTGTTCGATTCATAATTTCAGATAACTGACTGATGCAGCAAGGAAGCAAGGAAGATTTCTGTTTATTTTGTGTAGTGTGTTTTCACTACTCCGAAGCCTATCAGTCTGCAGGGATTCTGTTTATATCAGCAAAATACTCAATGCACTCCTTGCACTAGTATCTGAAAATATGATATACTTATTTTACAACTTTGAAAATTTGATTTTATGAGAGAACCGATGGATAAAAATGAATTAAATGAACTATTGATTTAACACTCATTGTGAGAAAGTTGGTAGTAGTTAAAAAATTAAAGACTTCATTTTGTTCTACAAATTGACCATCAATGCTTTTTTATCACACTTTCCTATAGCACCTCCAATGGGTTATCTGTGGGTCCCATTGTGCCACATTTTAAAACAACTCTAATATTTGCTCCAATGGTGGAATTTAGAAAAATCTTATAATATGCCCCACAATAATTGAACAAATGGTAACTAAACAAGAAAATATATTATTTAATCAACGTAATGCCACTTGGTAAAATTATTTTCCTCCTCCAGGCGGGCGAACCAAGCCAAAAATAATCTCTAACTGGAGATGGTCTTAGAGCATGTTCACTAACTAGTGTAACTTAAGATTTTTTTATTCATCATGCTACATTATTTTAAAGCAACTAATTTAATTTTAATTTTAATAGTGTAATTTTAAAGAATTTATATTGAGAATCTCACAGTTTTATCTCATATATAAATATTTTATTCGTTAATTTGATACAAACTGTTTAAAATATTGTAATTAATGTTTCTTTATCATTTGTGTTAGCTACGAATATTATATGCGCAACACCATTTCTAAGTTGGTGAATTCCATTTATTGAACTGTTAAAAAAACTTGTTTTTTGTTGCTTCACTCCGACAAACAGGCTTGAAAAACAGTCCCCCAAGTTGCTCTTAGAATATCTTCAACTGTGGTTCTTCCTGCTTACTCGTCAGCATGGCATGTATTTTGCATAAAATATTCACTTGAATTAAGGTGTCAAGCAACAAATTAATGCATGAAGCAACACTACGGACTTTATAAAATACATATATTTAATGTTTGTTTGTCATTAATTTTTTTTAATATAAATAAAATATTAATATTTGAAATAAAATTGTGGGACTCATTAGGTTTTTAGAATTGAAAAATTAAATGAATTATTTCAAACTGATGTGGTTTAATGGATCGAACTCAAAACTAGATAGCACTATTGGATATGTTGTTAGTAACTTATATAAACAAATCCTCAAGCATCCTTAAAGATTTATGTGTCTCATGTGCCAATTTTCCAGATTATACTTGACTGTTGTTAGGAGTATTTTTTCTAAGATAACATAACAATAAGAAATTATCTTTAAAAGGAATTATCATTTAGGATCATAGGAAGATGGAACAAGAAAAACTAATTTTAAAGAAGAAAACAAAGGAAATTATTTCACATTTTAATAAATAAGTCATAGTATTGGAACCTTAGAGTGAGTCCATTTTAAGGTTTTAGGTATTTCACATTTTAATAAATAAGTTATAGTATTGAAATCTTAGATCGAGTCCATTTTAAGGTTTTAGGTTATCCAGTTAGGTGCTAACAACTTTTATATTTAGTTTGTTCATACATAACTTTGATTTTAAATGAGCCCCCCAAGTAGGCAATAAAATTGGCGACGAAAACCTTCAAGACATCCAAGAACAATAAAAATGTGTAGTTACTAAAGTAAAACTTAAGGAAGAATTACAATTTTGTTAGCAATAGAATTGATGATGAGAATGATAAATTGTATTTTTATCGTTTTTAGCCATTTGAATTTATCATTTATTCCTGACTTTTGTTTCCGTTTTCTTGTTTTTAATTTGTTTCGAAAGTTTGAAGAGTGTTCAAAGTCATGTTCAAAGAAAAACTCCATTTAAGCAAAACTCTGTTCTATTACTTTTAAGCAATCAATTCTAGGTTATATATATATATATATATATATATATATATATATATATATATATATATATATATATATATATATATATATATATATATATATATATATATATATATATATATATATATATATATATATATATATATATATATATATATATATATATATATATATATATATATATATATATATATATATATATATTGTATGCTTTATTTAAATTAACTTTATATCATATATATATTGTATGCTTTATTTAAATTAACTTTATATCATATATATTATGCTCAAATTTATATTATCTAATGACTCGATCCCAAATAAAAAGACGTTTTGGTCATTTCACACGAATTAAAAAACTTAATTATTACTTTATAGAAAAGACAAAATATGTATGACTTTACAGTAGCGCCCCTCATAATTACACAGAAGAGAGAAATTAAAAGAGTTGAAAGAATAAATAATAATAAATACTTGAGGATATATTGGAAAAAATGTCATTAATATTGCATTGCGAATGTAAGGTGACTTATAATTTGATAAATTTTTTTACCAAAGTAATTTATAATTTGGGACAGATGAAGTATAACTTTTATCATGAGTGAGTAGTTTTGTTGTGAACTGATGTTGTCAAGAACAAAACAAAATATGAGGAAAAAAATTGAGTTTCTTGAATAAACACAAAAAATTCTATTAGGTTTTACAAAAGATAGAGAAGAGAAAAAAAAGAAGAATAAGAATTGGTTAAAACTGTTTTATTATTCACTTATTCAATAAGGATTCAAAGATTACAAGTGAATGCCAACAATTAACCTCTCACAACAACCTGAGAGAACTACTCTATTTATAGACTATTAAGCTAACTTAATAATTGAGCTTACAAGCAAAACTTAATTCGACATGCTAACATAAACACATAGTTAATGATAAGTTCAAACTTTTGAAATTGACATTAATTTTGGTAAAACTAACTTGACAACAAGATGTCCTAACATGAAGAACAAATTGAAGAACAAGATGTTGGACAAGATGTCCTATCATGACGATTTGACATATTTGTCTGTTACTTTGCAGTTTTGATACTGCTAATTTATTTCTAATTTCAAAATATTGTGGGAATATTTGTTTATCCTAGGTGGCGTTCAAGATTGAGGAATCAGAGATTCTGTTTGAATTTGAAGATGTCGTTTTCTAAACATGGAGACATTTTAGGAAACTTTGGATTGAAGAAATTATTCTTGAGGAGAATAAGTTGCAGAAGATGTGTAACAGAATTGCTGCGTTTTTAAAGCCTAAATCCAGTCTAGTTTATGGTTATAAATAAGATGGATTTAACCTAATCAAGGTGTAGAAAATACATTGTTGCTTAGTGAGTTTTAGGGTTTGTGTATTTGCGAGCCTCTCTTGTATCGTGTTGATACTAGAGCTGGACTGTTTGCATTGAGTTGTAATTTCTGTCACTGTTGTGATTGAAAGAGATTTGAGAAGGGTCTCATACCTAGGAGAGTCTTAGGTAGAAATTAAGCACGAATAGTGATTAAGTGATAAGTTGTAAACTAGAGGTTTTTTAGCTTAGAATTAATAATTGTGGAGGCAAATCGCCACATATCACACAAGTCTGCAAGACATTGGTTAATGCAGGTTTCGATGATGACAAATTCCCCGGATAGATTGGAAAGTATGAATTCCAGATCTACTAAACCAGATGCAACGTATCACCCACCATATCCTTTTA